TATCCAAGAGAAAGAAAAACATAGGATGTTAGACTGAACTAAAGCTGGTGTACATAAAAGATGGTTCAACTGAAGTCAAGTGGCTTAAAATATAAATTCTGTAAAGCACATAGGATTACAGTTTGGCCCATAATATTTTGTATTTACAGTGTGTAATTTTGGTCTTTTGGAGGAGGTCAGGTAAAGGATCTCACTGTTTTCATTGTGTTCCTTTATTTCATGCCTTTCCCAAATATTTCCTTTTTTAAAAAGTTTCAGAGACAAAAGGGGGAAAAAAGGCAAGAGGAAAAAAGTTTACTCTTCCATGTCTTTTCTGCCCCCCTAAAATCCCTAAGGGAGTTCATACGGTAGCATCTTCTTATTTTGGGAAGAATAAGTAGTGAAACTGGAAAAACTCTACCAAACCATTGTTTGTTTAAGGCCACTCAGTTTTTTCACTTAATTTATAAACAAGTGTAATTAGAAGAAACACCAAAGCATTTGTACAAGACAAAAAGTGTTAGGAAAATTTAGACATTTGAACATTTATTCAGGGTTTGAATGGCTGATTTAGAAACACAAGTATAATACAAAAGAAAAACTTTTTTCTTTTTTTTTTAAAGAAAGCATGATGATTCAGCCCAAAAGAGATACAAAAAGAGATGGAAATATATATATTTAGCATTGTGAACTGAGTACTAGTGGCTCACTGCTGTAGTTTTCCATGTTTGCAGCTGGAGGTCTTATTGGTATTTAATGAACATTTGCCTACTTGACTGGTGAGCTTCCGTGGCGGGGTTGCACAAAGCATAGCCTCTCCTTCTGCCTAGTGGAAATCTGCAGGATGAATTAGCAGTTAAAGCTGAGCATGTGGTCTTCAAACAATCTGCCTCCATAGTTAGGGCATAAGTGCCACCTCTGCAGGATCCCAGACAGATTTGTGGTTACGTACCCGATGGTCAGGAGCAGCCTCAGTCTCTACAATATGGTACTTGACAAAGGATTTCCAGTAGCCATCCTATGTGTTAAGTAGCATTTGCCACTGACTGTGATCTGTGGGGTAATGCTTCCTGTTACTCTGTATGGTTAGCTGCAAAAATGCCATTTTGGGGCAAAAGACAGCATCGCTCTGAAATGTTTGACTAACCACGCACACATAAAGTATGTGGGACTTAGCTTCTCCAAACTAGGCACCCAAAACTAGTGGTGAACTTAGGAGTAAGGTCTTTCTCTGCCTGATCTTCAGTAGTGTAACAGCCTCTGCTTAGCGCACTTCATGCAAGTAACAACCACTGAGTTTTGTAGCTGGTTCCTCTGGTAGATCCACCACGGCTCTTAAGCGTTTTAGAGGTTCTTGGTGTGTCTCAAAATCTAAAGTTGCAGTGGTACAGTCATAAATCTGCAACGGGGGGATGCTTCTCGGTATTTTTGCCTGGATACCATCTTATTTGCATAGACATTGTGAAGTAAATCTGTGTCTTTAAAGGACATAAGAGTTGCTGCAATGGAAAGCATAGGAAATCCACACCTAGGTTTCTAAATGTGTTTGACCACTTTGAAGTACTCAGGGTATTGACTGAATACTAGTTAAAAGGGGGAAAAAAAGGGGGGGACAAAAATACCAAATAGCTTTTTTCCCTACAGGTGTATCTGTATATCATGATGTTAAGGAAAAAAGCTCCACCCTAACACAGATTTAGTGCTCTGTTCATCTACTGATTTCTTTGGTCTCGAGCAGCGTGCCGGTCTGGCAGCAGCTGCCCTGCAGTGAAGTGGTTGTTGATTCCTCTGGAGGGAACCATCTGTCAGGGTAGCAAAGCAAAACCTGCTTCCATTTCCTCACAGATGCTGCAAACTATCTTCCCTTCAGAGCAGTGAGTTACAAGATAGGTCTTGCCCTGTTGGAGAGATACCCATTTCCATTCCCACTAAATTTAAATTAATGTATAGAAACTTAGTTGAATCCAGCTGACTGATGAACTTGATACTTAGATGAATCTGGACTGATTTGAAAAAAAAAAAAAGTTTGGGCACCTGTTCTTAAATATCTGAAAAACTTTGAGCATTCCTCCCTAGTTTTCTTCAAATTTCTAAAATCTACAGATGCACGGGAACTTTATATTTACATCTACAGACCTGGAATGTGGTTTTCTTGTTTATTTAATGAAAACAATAATTTTAATAAGATATTAATAGATATATGATTAATTTAGACAGTCTACTTACTGTCTGATCCTTTAGGTACTGTGTGCCTCTCTTTAATACCACATATGTCCTTTTCTTTCACATTTATTTCAAGAAGAGTTTAATGGTACTCCCATGAGGTCATCATATTGTGCTTTCAATGTCATAGGTTCTGTTTGCACGCCTCATCAGTTTATTTTGTCCTCTTTGTAATCTTCCCTTATTCAAAGCAAAGTGGCGAAGAACACTCCAGCACTAACTTGTAAATTTCTGTTCCTTCCTGGGTAAGAGAACATCAAAAAAAAGTTATCATTTGAGGGAGGTTGCTAATTGCTGTCACCAAAGGTATTAGATTCAAAGCCCAGTTAAATATACCATTAATTCTGAGTCTGAAGTGTGAATTAACACAACCTCCCATATATTTTGATCAGTAGTCCAGACCCATATATAATTTTATCTTAGGGATGAGAAAATAGCATTTTTCTTGTCCAGTTTCTGTAGTAGTATTGTAAAACCTGCTGTCTTGATATTTTTACAAATCTAGTGCCATCCAAGGCTCTGTGGTGGTATATATGGAGAATACTAGGAGGAGAGACGTGAACTGTAACTTAAGTGTTCTGTGTATTTAAGTGCATTTACCCCCAGCAAGAATACAAAATGTGACTAGGGCAGTCCATGGTAATCAGAAGAGGAAACGCAGGATTGACTTGTTATTAGAACTCAGGGAGGTGTTACTGGTTTGTGTTTCACCATCTCAGTTTGATCCTATGCCGGTGGGTGGGGGGGGCATCAGCCCTCCTGCATTAGGGCCTGAGGCTGCCTGTTCACATGTATATACACCGCTTTTGTATGCCTGAATGGTTCGCGGGTTTCTTTGCGGCTGTGATTTTTGTGTGTGTGTGTGGTGTTTATGTGGCTGTCTGCCAACTTTCTATGAAATTATGTGTCAAAGCTTTTCCTGTGGCCCTGATAGCTGTTTGCTTTTGGGTTTGGTAGGGGTGAAACACCGGGAGGGTTGGGTGTCAAAAGTCAGGTCAAAAGCAATCAAAAAGGACTGGCTTTTATCACTTCCTTGTGAAGCTGCAAATTGCTTTCTGATCTTTCAGAAACATTTTCTTAGAAATGTCCTCAGGAGCTATAGAGGATGAAGACAGAAATGGAATTTTAGTTTATTTAAGGCTGTGTGAAGACAGAAAAAAAGAAAATCCCGTGAAGAAGGCAGCCTTTTTCATTCCTTACTCTTCGCAAAGCTGAATACAGAAAAAAAAGTGAAATTTGAATTTTGAATCTAATTTTCTGAGATCAAGTGCTGATAAAATTGCTTCCAGCTTCAATCCAGTAAACGTGAGTTTATGTGAAGCCTGAGCCAGAGCTCAGTAGAACAGTTTAAAATCCAGTCTTGGGGGCTGATGTGCCGTTTTTGTTGCTACTTAAAACCCCCATAAAACTCAGTAGCAATCCCCTAACATAAGACATGATTAGATAAGATTTTTTTTAAAAAAAGACCCATGAGATGGGATTAAATCCTCCCAAACAATTCTGAGGTTTGAGCTGTTGAAAAACATGTAAATTAATCTACTCTTTACAAGATGCTCTGTGTAATACAATACAAACCCTGACATTAGGAGACATTGCTAGCAGTCACACGTCAATAGATAGCATGTGAAAAAACTTACTTAAGGTGGGGTGGTCCATGGAGTCTTCCCTGCAGAGACCTACTAAGGCCCTGCGTGCTCATTGCAAGATAAAAGAGTGCCTGGTTCCTCGCTGGTATTTCTTGCTTTAGCATTATCCTTTTGCGTAGCTGTTAAATTAAAAGAAATTAAATTTCAGGTGCTCATTTTTTTCTTCACCTCTTGTGCTATGTGAAGAGGCAGAGTAGCTGGAAGGTTATGATAGCTTAGAGGAGGGACCCTGCAGGAGAAGGGAAAGACATGAAAATTCTCTGTACTGTTCCCAGACAAGACAGTGTTCATACATGAACATATGGGACAGCAAGAGGGCTGCTTCTCTCATCATCTTTTGTTCCATCCACCCACTTTCACATGTCCAGGGGAAAAACAAGGGCTGGTAGCTGCTCCACTGCAGTACACAAGCGCCCCATGGCGATGTTCTTTGCTCTAAATCTGTTGTTGGTAAGAGGGACAATTTAATAGCTGGGTTTGCCCCAGTTCTGCTAATTTTGCACCCTGTGTCCCTGTTTGCCTTCCTTCTTCGAAAACACTGTGTTTCAGTATTGCAGCAGTGCCTCTGAGCTTCTGGGTTAGTAGCACCTGGGTGCTTCACAGCAATCAGATTTGCGCTTGTGCCGGGGAAATTGAGAAGGTAAATGCAAAATAATGAACAAAATAGTTATTTGGGGTTGCTAGTGGCACCGTGGCTCTGAGAAGTGTCACCTTTAAGAGACCTGCAGCGCAGCATTAGTGTCTGGACATGCCTTTTACCTGGGCAGTGGACTTCGCAGGCTCTGCTGTTAAGATTTGGCAGCTCTTTTGTGCCAGCCCCGTGCTTTCAGGGCCCTGCAGGGCTGACGTTCAGAACCAGTCTTCCGAGGGTTTCGGGGAGCACCCCAACACACGCTTCAGTTTGGCAGTGCCACTTGGGGACCCCGCGCGGAAATCCGGCACCCATCACCTCCGGCGAGCCTTAACCTCGGGATCGGACAGCGGGGATATAGCGCCCACAGAGCGACACGCATGTCCGCGGCCGCGGGACCCGGGCACACCCTGTCCGGAGAGAGGGGGACCCGCTAGGCTTGGGGGACAGCGGCATCGGGAGAGGAGGGCACTACGGAGACACACGGACACGGCGGGGGTGACAGTGGTTGTGCGGCGTGTCCCCCCTCGGGGTGGGGAAGGAGCACCCGCTGCTCGCAGCTGTAACAACAAGGGGGCAGCGAGAGGCTGCCGGAGCACCCAGCCGAGGGTGAGCAGCGCGACGGTCTGCTCCTTTGCCCCAGCCGCTCCGCACGGTGCCCTGAACCCCTCTCACCGCACCGGCCGGGCTGGAGGAGGAGGAGAAGGAGGAGGAGGAGATCGGGCGCTTTCACTCCTGCTGGCTCCGGAGGCTGAGGCAAAAGACAGAAAAAAGGAGGAGGGGAATAAAAAGTAAAGAGGGGGGAGAGAGAGTGAAAGAAAACTAAGCCCAGCTTTTGCCGGTGCTGCTTGGATTGGATCTGGTTTGAGTTTCCTCTCTGCTGGCTTGTGCAGCAAGAGAGGAGGAGTGGGGGGAAGTAACTCGCTCACTCTTCCTCTGAAGCTCAAGCAAACGTGCTGGTGACTGCACTGGTGGGGAGCTGCCCTGGGTGCAGTTGCCTCCTGGCTTATTGCTCTCAGTTCCTAAAGAACTGCCTGGACTTCTCGAGGACCTGGAGGAAAAAGCATCACTTCACAGATCAGAGTTGCTCAGTGACTATAGACTTGACAGTTCTGTTTTTGTGGTTTTTTGTGTGTTTTGTTTTTTTTTTTTTTTTCTCTTCTAGGGAATTCTTTTTTTTAATTATTTTTCTCCTGTGTCTCTCAGAGCAGCATTTCCTTGAGTGTGTGGCATTGAAATCCATTGCTTTGTTAACAACTTTGGGAGATATTTTAAAAAACTTTTTTTTCTTCTCTCTTTTGCTTTCTTTGCCTTAAAAAAAGAGAAAAAAAAAGAAAAGATAATCCTTTTGGGGGGAGGGGAGATGATCGTGCTGATGTGGAATAAGTGCTCCTGCTGTCTCCTCTTACTAGCCGCGGTCCTGATCGTGGAGAGCTCCCAGCTAGACAGCTCCAGCTCCAAGGTGAACTCCATCAAGTCCACCCTGATGGGGGAGGCTCCAACTCAGACAACCAACAGATCTACAGGCATCCACCAGGGACTGATACTTGCTAGCAGTAAGAAGGGCAAAATCCTAGAGCAGATGGGAAAACCTCCCAAGCACTATCACCGGCAAGGAGAGGTAGGACATCTCTTCATAGCTCGAGTGTCTGTCTGTCTGCATACTATATGCAAATAATTTCCAGTCTTCCCTCACATTGTTTTTAAAGCTTCCCTGTGTTAAATCAATTAATTAACTTCATTCAGGATTGTCTGGGACAATAACATCTCACAGTTGGTGTTACGAACTGTGCAAGTGGGAGTTGGAAGGTTTTAAACCTTTCCATCTTCTCTATAGGGTTCATAATTGATGGAAGAAAGAGTAGTCTAAAAAAAATTACCATCTTCAGCAATTCTTTGTTTGACTTCTCCAAAGCATTGCTAGAAGTAAAGGAAGAAACTCTCAGACACTAAATTAATCGAATTTGAATAGTTGGGGAATATTTGAGCATGAAGTGACAACTGTGTTTACAGCGGTGAAACAAACTTGGTTTTAAAAATCACACGTGGCAAGTTGATCTCTGTTACCTTTCTTCATGATGGGAGTAAAAAAAGATGCCGTCCCAGTGGAATAGTTTATGTCACATTCATTTGCTTAATATGACAGTAAATAAATTCTAGGTTACTTGTCCAGTATGCGCTCCAGTGGTTGTGGAAGTTTTGTTTGGTTATGTCCAGCTGAGATAAGTAGGCAGTAATAGCCCCGAATACAAAGTGTGTAAGGAAGAAAAACTTTATGAAAAAAAAAGACCCTGGCTTACTTATGCACTCTTCTTCCTTCTCTATCCTGCTTGGAATCTTGGAAGTCTGGTAATAAATTATCTTCATTCAGCTACCTCAGTGGTAACATACAAAGCAGTATTTTAAGCCATCAGTCTTCTACTACCCTGTCAGGTCTAATGGGGATGGTAGGAATGTTGCACATTGTAGTGTTGACGGAGGTAGGTTTCTTCAGAAAACATAGATTTTTTTTTTATACTGCTTGGTATTACTAGTACCTCTAAATATAGCTGCTTTTCATAAGCAACAAACAGTGTAGCAGCAAGGGAGCTGCCAACATTCAGCACTAAAAAGGCAAAATACTCAGTGCCTGAAGGATCTGTATATTGCCTGCATATTTCTTAAAACAGCGAAAAAGCTGCAAGTTCAAGAAATCCACTGAAAGTGTTTCACATCAGCTTCCTAATAATTGAATGTTCTCATCTGTTTTTTTGTGCAGGCGTAATAATAGTGGTGGCAGTTTAGGTTTTTGCACGTGAGATACTTGGTTTTAAACTCCTCCAAGCTTTCTTTCCCTAACCACTCAATTGTTTTATAATTTCTTAGAATTTAGTCACCTCTCCTTACCTCTTGAGTGAAGTCTGGTAGCAGATGCTGTGTAGAAGTTTCATATTACTAAAGTACTGTGCTCTTTCCTAGTGCACATTGTAATAATCACTATGTTAAATCACCTTGAGGAAATACAGGAGCATGATATGCTTTCTTATATGTTCTCCTTGTGCTTTCTTTTGTTTTCTGTATATTCATAACAAGCCAATATATAGGACTCCATTGTTTCCACTGAAACAATTTCATTGTTTCAGTCTTATCAGTTTTCATGTGGGTACTTGTGGGGCTGCACTGTACAGACTCAAACATGATCTATAATTTTTGTCCTTTGGAAAATCTTGCTACCTTTCACTTTGTACAACACCCTTAGCACTTCAATGTATATTCAACACAAGTTGAGAATGATTGATTATAAGTCACCCAGTTCCTGGGAAACAGTTGCACTGTCCACCAGTTGCTTTTGCAGGATTTGCTCCTTACTTGCCAACCTGGATAGTTTGCTGAGGACTTGCAGTTACTGGCAAGAACTCACAAAGTAAACTTCAAATCAGAGATAATGCTGTAAGTATCTGTAGTGGTAGAAGAGATGGCATGCATGTTAAGGTGTCTTGTTTGTAGCACAAGCAAAGACCCCGGGAGAATCAGTGATTTTGGCTCCCAGGGAGCAAAGCCTGACCTCCAGTTAAGGGCTGTTGGTGCTGATTTCACCCTCTCCCTGAGACTCTATCCCCGGCTCCTGCACAGATGTAGTCCATGAAAATAGTTCAGATTTGCTACCAGTAATTGTAGATGCTACTTTTGGCCATCTGCCTGAAGCAACAAAATTAACAATGACTTGCAATACGAAGAAGAAAAGGCAACAGAAGTGAAGGGATGGGATGGAAGGGAAGGGAGAAAAGGGAAGAAAAACAGAAGAGAGATGAGAGAGAAAAGAGAAAAATAATTGAAAAAAAAAGTAGCTTTTGTGATAATGCAATATCATGGTGATACTTCCAGTTGCAGGGTTGGTAAGCCACTGCATTTTTTAGCAGCGGTGTCACGCATCTCAACCAGTTAAGACATGATATTTTCATAATTTTTTTTAGGTACCTTCTTATTAGCTTAGTACTTGATTTGTTTAGATTATGGGATTTTGTACTGAAGTATTGCAAACCGTTTGCTAAAAGAACAGTCCTGTGCTTTTCTTTCATAAATAATCTGTTGCATGAGTAGAATTTATAAGGTGTCAAAAGTAGGGCTACATTTTATGTCTTGGTAACATTAAATAGTGAGTCGAGTGTCCTGTTTACGATTAGGAAATAGCTTTAGTAAGGACACGAGCATGCAACTTAAAGGAAAATTGATAGAATTTTGCTGCTGTGACAGCTCTGAGCTGTGCATTCAACCCTCTGTGGATACACATAGTGGAAATTGGAGGACTCTCACCAAAACTGATGAAAAGCCCATCAGCCAGCAACCTATTTGTTTTTCAATTATGTTAATTCTCTGGACTCGGAGCAACTTGGGAGTCTTTAATCAGCAATAAATCAACAGATACAATAGTTCATGGCTTATCTAGAGTGTTGATGTCTTTCAGCTGGTAGTTACAGTGCTTCTGCCCAGAAAGGGAAGATCCAGCGCTCCTTTGTCAGGCAAAGTTCCAGTTCAAATTAATGAAAATACTCACATGAGCAAAGCAAGCTGATATAACTTGCTGGAAGGACTGGCAGGGCAAATGAGGATTTTAGTAAGACTTACGTTTTATGTCTTTCTGAGGAATATTATTTATTTTCTATTCTTATTCCCTTTACTGCCTTGGATCAGCAGAGAATGAGAAGCACTGACGTGCTAAATCGGTGAGATTTCACTGTCTTCACTGCTCTGTGCTGTCTCTCCTGTTTTCCCCTTTATGCAAACTGTTAATGTTTTCTGAATTTCACAAAGAATCGGAAAGTATCTACAGCATTTGCACAAGGGAAAAATTTGCTCAGAATACAGAGCATGTTAGACAAGGTTATTTTTTAGGGTGGTCAGTACTGTATATTGTCTGGCACTAATTTCCTTTCAAAACTCCATTTAGAGAGCTGTTTCTAGGAACAGCTAAAACTTCTGTATTGTAGCTTCTCTGGGAAATTGTTCTGGATGTGTCATCTCCCTAAATAAATATGATATAGTGAATAGAGTCATAAATGAAAAAGGCCACGTTAGCCATGATGGTGGATTAACTTTTCTGCGTGTTAGCTATACCTTCCACTGTGTTAGGGCAAGCTCTCCATGTGAACACTCTCGCTCAACTATAGAGATGCAGCTCGAAAGGGAAAATCCCACATATTGTAGCTCTAATAGAAAGGCATAGCCTTTCCAGAGATTCCTGGATGATGGCTCTATAACCTCACTATTTCACTTCACTGTCTTTATCACTTCTTGCCTCTGAGATACAGTCCCCTCCATCAGTGCTGGTGTTTGCACTCCTTCATACTCAACCACCTGTAATGATCTAGTAGGCTGAGACCTACCAAACTGTATTTCCAGCCATTTTCCTTCTTTAATCTATGGGTGCTATTATCTTTTGCCCTTTCCAAGTCCTGGCCACAAGCCATTGTTTCAGCTCGTCTTTGCTGCTGCGTAGCTGGTTGGGTTTGTGCTTCCCACTGCGACTGTCCCTCCCACTTTCCACACAGACAGGAGCAGCAGCAATGAAGGGAACTGGGATGGCCAAGAGATGGGGCTGGCACAACTTTGGGGCTGAATGAGAGATAATGGGGTCTGGAAAAGAGAGAAAGGAGTGAAAAGCTGGGACAAGTTTCAACACTGCAGAGGCACAATAGGCAGATATTAGATCAGCCTTTGTATTCCAAATATACTCGGTTTAATAAAGTATTTTAATTTTTATTTTATTTTAAACTGTATCACAGCTTGAACTAAGAGGCTTGAGACCACAGAAACCAAACCAAAAAGGCATTAATCCAAATGGCTACATTGACACTGATCTCATATGTATCGATGCACGAACATGCATGTGTTTCTTGAACAGGACACAGCTACCCACAAGGACTTGCTAGAGAATGCTTGGATGATGCTTTGTAGCAAGTAAAACAGCGTGAGATGTAGTAATTGACTGCAGTACCCTGAGAATGTTACAATAAAATGTACCAAAGACACCAAAAATGTAACCACAATATCTTGAATAGCTAGCAAACAAGACAGCGTAAATTATTTCTACATGGGATTAAAAATAAATTAATTACAATACCTAGAAATTACATCCAGCAACAGCTGTGGGGTTTTTTTGTGTTTTTTTGGTTGTTTTTTGTTTTTTTTTTTTTTTTAAAGAAATAAATACAGAATTGCTAAATCTGCAGAGGTCACCAGAGAATGTATTCTTTGCTCTTGCTGTTTGCTCTTAGGAATCTGGGAGGCATACTGGTTTACTGGCAGCAGTTTTGCTAAATAGCTGAGTGGCTTGTCTCTTGATTGCAAAAATGGGATGCAGAGTATTATCTTCTTCCTGGGTCATCCTTGGTGTCCCCTTCAATTTGTTATTGTTATTTGACTTCTTAATATAGAGAAAAAGCTCCTATAAAGTGGTTTTAATGCAACTATTTCCTATTAATGTTGCAACAATGACTAGACATCTTCCAGGACTTTGATGAGCTATTTGGTGTGCAAATACTTACAAAGAGTTTGTTTCTGCCTGAAAAGTCTGTCAGAGTCCAAGGACAACACAAAAGATGATGAAGCATGATTATATTTTGCCCTCAGAAAAAAATGAGT